CTCCTCCTCCTCCTCCTCCTTCTTCTTCTTCTCCTCCTCCTCCTCCTCCTCCTCCTCCTCCTCCTTTTTTCTTTCCTTTTTTCTTTTCTTTCTTCTCTTTCTTTCTTTCTTTTCTTTCTTTCTTTTTTTCTCTCTTTCTTTCTTTCTTTCTCTTTCTCCTCCCTCCTCCTCCTCCTCTCCCCTCCTCCTCCTCCTCCTCCTCTTCCTCCTTCTTCCTCCCTCTTCTTCTTCTTCCTCCTCTTCCTCTCCCCCTCCCTTCCTCCTCTTCCTCCTTCTTTCTTCTTCTTCCTCCTCCCCCTCCCTTCCCCCCCCTCCTCCTCCTCCTCCTTTTCTCCTCCTCCTGCTCCTCCTGCTCCCCTTCCTCATCTCTCTGCTAAATTTATATGCATCAAATTTCCCGAAACTCTTACGATTATGTCCCTCCAACATTAATACCAACATGAAGAATAACAGTTTCTGTCAGCTTCCAAAATCTAATCCAGGGAACAATAAAGAGATCCATTTAATGAATGCTCGCCAAGGGGACGCTAATATCTCAAAAAACCCACACCATTAGATACGGGCGCAGCAGCTGCTTTAGTTCATCACGCTCTGCTTCCCACCTCATCACCTGCTTCTATTTCTGGTTATCTGACCGTACCGTTCATTCATTCTTTTTGTCACTTGATGCCCTTTCCCTCCGCTATTTAAAGCACAACGGGAACTTGACTTAAGTCACAGAGCTGAGATTGGACTTAAGTATTGTACCAAGTCGTGGCTGGACAAGGCGGCATCATGAATAAATGTGTAAGTCTTGTTTTTGAACCAAAATTCCCAGCACAAGCTTGCAAGGTGTAGATTGTTCTCTTGGAGAGGAATTGGTCGGTTGTTGATTGACAGCCACACGTGTGGTTTTTGCCTCTTTCTGGGTGTTGTTGCTTGCTTGCGTTGAGAGGGACAGCCACCTTAATCATTTGCAGCAAAAAGTGACCAAGTTATATTTTAAAAATTGCCTCCTTTATTTTGGCATTGGGTTTGGTGATCAGAGTCCTTAAGATGTTTGGATGCTTCTCTTAATTGTTTCTGCTGTATTATTTCTTTTTTTTTGTATAAAAACCTCATACTTTGTGCTTATTAATTAGGCCGCCTTCTATGATTAATGTAGAGTTTTATTAATACGCAAGCTATTTTTCAACAAAAAAAAATCTTGTGTATACTGTACAGTTTTTATGGGAATAAATGGATGCTTAATATGTGCAGATTTATTTTTGTGTGTCCACATTCTAACTGAAGATAGAAGTTAATTATTTTAAAGGTTTTTCTGGCTTGGCAACAGAATGTTCTAATCTCATCCTTTAACCTGGATTATACTGATGGCACTATTTATTTAAATATTCACCGTATTTATCAGCCATTCTGGGCTCTAGTCCTGAACATTTGCACCATCCAAGTTCTCCAGCCACCCTGATTCAGTTTGATGAAAGAGAACGTGTTTCCAAAAATCATTGTAAAGAAGGGAATTCCTGAGAAATTGTCCTGTGTGGCGTGAAGGATTTGCGTTTCTTTTGTTATGCAGGGATCAAGGGGAGGTACAGTTGGGGGTGAATGAATGCCATATTCTTCATTATATAGCATTCTTTCCCCCCCGACTTTTGGCTTTCCAGATTTTCATTCAATTCAATTTCATTCATTCAGTTCCAAAAAAGGAGAGATGTCTCTGATGCCACTGCTTTGCCTGGCAGTATCTCACCCCTGGGAAATTGTTGAAGAAATGTTTTCCTTCCTTGCAAAAAAAAAATAAAAATCAGCAAGATTGTCCACCTAGTTTCTCTGTCTCCAAATCCAGTGGAGAACACGGAGGCCCCCCAAAAGTGGAGCTTTACCGGGGTGGGGGGTTGGGGGTGGCTGAAGGAGTCGAGAAGATTCCCTATCGCTGTGTTGTCTGTCCTCTTGGTATTTAGCTTCTTATTTAATCCTCTTCATTTTAATGGCTTTTGCGATATCTTGTTTCCCTTTTTTTGTCGTTTTATAAGCTGCCCAGAGTCACTGCAACATATGAGATGGGCAGCCTATAAAATATTGAATAAATAAATAATTATAATAAACATCCACATAACACCCAGACTTAACAAGTGTTGAAAAGAACGACAAAAAAAAGTCTGGATAGTGGGCAGTACCTGGAGATAGCAGAACAGAAGAGAAAGAACCGGAGAAGACGACAGAATACAAAGGCCTGGAAATAGATATAGAACCACTGTCCCAAAAGAAATAGCAATAGCACTTAGACTTATATAACCGCTTCACGGTGCTTTACAGCCCTCTCTAAGCGGTTTACACAGTCAGCATATTGACCCCCAACAATCTGGGTCCTCATTTTACCGACCTCGGAAGGATGGAAGGCTGAGTCGACCTTGAGCCGGTCAGCATCGAACTGTCGAATCCCTGGCAGTCAGCAGAAGTAGCCTGCAGTTCCGCATTCTAACCACTGCGCCATCACGGCTCAGAAAGCCAAGACGGTACAAATAGTCCTAGGCGCCTTGGGTGCCATCTCAAAACAACTGAAGCACCCACTTAAACACCATCGGCATTGACAAATTCAGTCAATTGCGAAAGGCAGCTTTACTCAGGGCGACTGACATCCTGCGGCGATACTTTTAACACCATCAAACATCAACAAATCCCTTTGGTGGTGTGTGTGTGTGTGTGTGTGTGTGTGACAGGTTTAATACCAGCAAGGTTTTCATCCACATATTGCCAGCTGCAAGGAATCAGAATGATGTTGTGAGCTGATCAGAAAAGGTTTTTTTTTTATTGCTACTCACCTCTTTACAAGAATCTCAGCAGGTTAACTTCAGTCTCTTGAGAAAAACCAGATAAACTATCCAAGGATTTGGGAGGGGGGGTTAGGTCTCCTTGGTTTCCTCTCCTGCAGGGATTCCAGGCTACGCAATCTCTTAACTCTTCCCCCCCCCATTGCAGCTGCAGATTCCATTACACGTATGGACTGGCGGATAGTCCTTAACATATCTAGGAGGGAGACCCACTCCACACAGCCTCCAGGTGTGGCTGCAAAGAGACCTCAATCCCTGTTTGCTACTTCCCTCTCATCAACAGCCCACTGCTAAGGTAGCTAGAAGATGGCTTAAGGCAGTGGTGGCGAACCTATGGCACGGGTGCCAGAGGCGGCCCTTGGAGCCCTCTCTGTGGGCACACGTGCCGTTGCCCCAGCCTTGCCTCCCCCCGCGACCCCCTCCTCTCCAGCGGCCCCCCTGAAGGAGACTCGCCCTCGAGCGTGGCCCACACGGAGCAGCGCAGCCAAGGACATGGCAGCCAGGCAGCGTAGACAAGACTTTGCCCTCACGCCCCATCATGCAGTTGATGCTGCAGGGCGTGGGCAGAGGGTGTGGCCGCTATAGCGCTGCTGGGCTGCCTGGGCGATCTGTGGCAGGGCCTGGAGGTGGTGAGTGGTCCTGTGGGCAGGGGGGTGGGGAATGGGGGAGCAGAGCGGGGGCGGGCAGGGGGGGGTGGAGAGCGGGGGCAGGGCCAGTTTTGGGGCACTCGGTCTCTAAAAGGTTCGCCATCACTGGCTTAAGGGTTCGTGTGCAGAAGTGGTGCTTTCCACATTAAGACGGGATACCAGGTTCTCTGTGGACAATGTAGAGCATATGGAAAAAGGCAACTTGAGACAATGTCACCGAGTTGTGCGATTCCTTGATTCCAGATCATCAATGAGACCACGTCTTTTGATGTTGTTATTGGACCCTGTGCCTCTTTCACATTCCAGATTTGACTGGGAAGGAGACCGGCCTAGACCTAGCTTCTGCCTGTCCACTTGTCTGTCTGTCAGTCAGTCGGTCTGTCGGTCTGTCTCTCCTAAAACAAGATGGCTGATCAACCTGAAATTGTCTTTCTATCTTTTCTAAAACAGATTGTCAAAGCAAGAATATGCTGTACTGACGTCTCTGTAACCTTAATAAATGCTTTTAGGAAAAAATATGCCTGAAAGTCCTTTTAAGTGTTTCGTTAATCAGACACATGACACAGATCTTCTAAAACAGGCCGATGGATTAGCCTAAAATTGGCTGCTACCTCAAATGAATAGAATAGAATAGAATAGAATAGAATAGAATAGAATAGAATAGAATAGAATAGAATAGAATAGAGCTGGAAGGGACCTTGGAGGTCTTCTAGTCCAGCCCCCTGCTCAAGAAGGAGAACCTACACCATCTCAGACAAGTGATTGTCTAGTCTCTTCTTAAAAATCTCCAGTGATGGAGCGCCCACAATTTCTGGTGGCAAGCTGTTCCATTGGTTGATTGTCCTCACTGTCAGGAAGTTTCTCCTTAATTCCAGGTTGCTTCTCTCCTTGATCAGCTTGAAATGAGAAATCCTGTAAACCCAAATGCTTGAATGGCTTGATGGAGGAGCCCACACCCCTTATCAGTCATTTAAAAATGTCCATCCCCCCCCCTTTTTCCTAGGGAGTGACCGCTGCACGCTTTCAGCTTTGTCCTGGAGAATCGCTCATAGTGAAGGGGACAATTTTACCCGACTGCAAAGGGTAAGAGAAGGAATTGGGGGCAAGGTTTCATGGAATGGCGTGTGTATGTGGGGGGTGGGGGAGGGAGGGCTGTTTGGCCTTCCCTTCAAGTCCTATAAGTAAAAAAGGGTCACCATAAACATTACAGTTAAATATAATTTCAGTTAAGCCTATTGCCGTTGAGGGGATTTATCCGGTAACCCTTTTTCCAAATGACAAATTTTTATTAACAGGCATAAACTTTTGCGAGCTGCAACTCAAAAATGTTTATTCCTGTTAATAAAATCTGGAGTTAGAGAAGGAACTATCGGTCTACTGATTTTTTTAAAAACCCCTAGACTAGGGGTAGGCAACCTTGGCTCTTTTATGACTCGTGGACTTCAACTCCCAGAATTCCTGAGCCAGCCATGCTGAGGGGAAAGGGAGAGTTTCCAAGCTGAGCCATGCTGGCTCAGGAATTCTGGGAGTTGAAGTCCACAAGTCATGACGAAGCCATAGTTCCCCCACGCTGGCTCAGGAATTCTGGGAGTTGACGTCCATGAGTCATAAAAGAGCCAAGATTGCCTACCCCTGCCCTAGACTAATGTTTTTCAACCGTGGCAACTTTAAAACAAGTGAACTTCAAGTCCCAGAATTCCCCAGCCAGCATATGCTGGCTAGGGAATTCTGGGAATTGAAGTCCACACATTTTAAAGCTACCAAGGTCAAAAAGCACTGCCATAGACTAACATGACTCTCCTAACACTTGCTGAGGATTTCCTATATTTGTTAATTAAGCATTACGGCTGCACGGGAATAAATTTTGGAGGGAATCCTGCAGCCGGTCAAACTTTAAAAGGGGAGCCAGCAGCCTTAAGGCGGTACTGTATGGCCTGCCCTCATTTTGTTTAAAAATTCCCCAGCACATTTCCTTGCCCCTACTCAGAGAGCAGCTATGCCCACCCACCCACATGCCCTAAGACAGTGGTTCTCAACCTTTTTAATGCCGCGACCCCAACCGGTCGTAAGTTGAGGACTAAACCGGTCGTAAGTCGAGGACTAAACCGGTCGTAAGTCGAGGACTACCCAACCGGTCGTAAGTCGAGGACTTTCCCTGCCTGGGAGCACTGCGCATGCGTGGTTCCGCCCCCTGCGCCGGCCGAGGCGTAGCTGGCAAGTGGCAGAGACAGAGCAGGCCGACCACCAGCTGGCCCAGCCCAAGGGAGGTAAGGCACCCGCCGGAAAAGGGGAAAAAATGGCGGACAAAAAAAAATGGCGGACAAAAAAAATGGCAGACAGCCTTGCTTGGCGACTTCCATGAAATGGTTGATCGACCCCAAATGGGGTCCCGACCCACAGGTTGAGAACCACTGCCCTAAGAAGTTTTCCAGATGCTCTCCAGACATTCCTGGCAGGCCTCTGTCCTGTGCAGAAACATTACCGCCCATCAATCTTCTTCATATCCTTTTTTAGTTTGGGAAGATTAGGAGACACAAAGCCTTTACCAAAATAGCTTTTCGATCCCCTCTCCCTGAAACTCCCGGATGTGTTCTGGTGTCTCTGACGTTTGCAATTCCACCCTCAGATTCGAGATAAACCTGGGCAAAGACTACAACAACCTGGTGCTCCACTTCAATGCACGCTTTGACTGCAAGGGCGATGTGAACACTCTGGTGTGTAACTCCAGGCGAGACAGTAAATGGGAGGAGGAGCAGAGATCACCTCACTTCCCTTTCCATCACAACTGTGAGACCGAGGTGAGGACTTAGTACCCGTGTTTCCCCAAAAATAAGGCCTATCCTGAAAATAAGACCTAGTTTGATTTTTAGGCATGCACCTAATATAGACTCTAATCCAGTGATGGCGAAACCCAGCCGCACCCCGCCCTCCACCCGCCTCCACCCCGCCTGCCCACAGGGCCACCCACCGCAGATTGCCCAGGCAGCCCAGCAGCACCATGGCAGCCACTCCTTTCGCCCACGCCCCACAGCATCATCTGCGCGCGACGGGGAGTGAGTGTAGTGTCTTGTCCCCGCTGCCCGGCTGCCATGTCCTTGGTTGCGCTGCTTGGGGGCGATTCTCCTCTGGGGTGGCTGTTGGTGAGGAGGGGCCACGAGGGGAGGCAGGGCTGTGGTGACGGCATGCGTGCCCACAGAGAGAGCTCTGAGTGCCGCCTCTGTCACGCATGCCATAGGTTCTCCACCACTGCTCTAACCCCCCCAAAATAAGCCCTAGTTTTGGGGCGAGGCGCATGCATAAAAATCAAGCTAGGGCAGGGATGAAGGGGTGAACCCGCCCTATGCGACCTGCACCCACTTACCTTAGGCCCGCTGCAATGAGGCCTCCCACGCCGCGGCATCTGTCACGCTGCAGCCCGAGTTCTTCTACACATGCTTGCAGCCGTACGGCATGTGGCGCATCATGCTGCTGCTGCCGTTCGTGGCAGGAGGCCGCAGGGCTCGTCAGCCAATCGCGCCGCTTGTAGCCGAAGCTGGTTGCACTGATTTTGCTGCTGCCGCCACACATAGCACAAGGCTTGTTGTGGTGTGATCAGCACGATGAGGTTCGCGCTGCGAGTGGTGGCAGCAGCCTGTTTGACATGATCAGCGTAACAAGCCACGTGGCCTCCTGCCGTGAGTGGCGGCAGTGGCACGATGTGCCACGTGGCGTGCAGCTGCAAGTGGCTGCAGAACTTAGGGAACGGCGCGATAGGTGTTGGGGCATGGGAAGCCTGGCTGCGGCAGTCCTAAGGTAAGCGGGTAAGACATCTCTCGAAAATAAGACCTGGTGCCTCTTTTGGAAGCAAAAAAAATATAAGACCGGGTCTTATTTTCAGGGAAAAACAGTAGCAGGACATCAGATGCAAAGGGGGGGGCAGGGGGTCACTAGAGCAGCAGCTGTCTGTGATGCACACCACGGAAGAACTGTGTAAATAGGAAGACTAATGTGTTATCTACGGCAGTTCCACTTATACAGGAATCTGTTGACTGACAACTGTTTGTTTAGTGATCATTCCAAGTTACAACCGCAATGAGAAATGGACTTATGACCCTTTCTCACACTTAAGACCAGGGCAACATCCCCATGGTCTCGTGATCAAATTTGGATGCTTGGCACCTGGCGTGTATTTATGATGGTTGCAGTGTCCTGCAGTCATGTGATCACTTTTTGTGTTACAAGTTACAGGATGCTTGTGTGTATTCACCATGAACTAGCTGTTTTTTGTTTGTTTTTTTTAAAAAATCGGTATTTTAGTAAGTAAAGATCACATAAGCCATAAATTATGGTGGTTTATAGTGGCTGGCTTGTAGAACCCAGAAATTTGAAAGTGTATGAAATGCATCTGCGACGACTCCATGTATGAATCAAACCGTGGAAAATTCAGTCAGAGCAATCTTACTTAATCTAGGTGCCTTCCAGATGTGCAAACTACAATTCCCAAAGTCCCCTAGCTACTGTGGCCATCGCTAAGAATTCTAGGAACTAATTCCATGCTTCTACAGGCACTAGGTTGGTGAGGGTGAGCTTCATGCCTTTATTGGAGACTCCCTATAAAAGAGATTTTTGAATAATTGTCCCAATTATCTTTCTACTTTATCATAAAAATAATCTAGGCCAGTGGTGGCGAACCTATGGCATGGGTGCCAGAGGCAGCACTCAGAGCCCTCTCTGTGGGCATGTGTGCCGTCGCCCCAGTCCTAGGCCTTCAGCTGGGTCTTATGAAACCTTTTCGCTTTAGGCCTCTGCCGTCTTGTGCAAAAAAAAAAAAAGGTTCAATCAATCAGTCAATTTCAACTTCTCGCAGGAAAAAAAAAGATCTTGCAAAGTTGGAATTGATTGATTGAATTTTTTAGTCCCACCCAGTCTGCCGTTATCACCGCAGCCACGCTCACCCAATGGGCCACACCTACCCAATGGGCCACACCCAGCCAATGGGCCACACCCACCCGGACACCCGACGATGCATAAGTGGGTTTTGGGTTGCAGTTTGGGCACTTGGTCTCTAAAAGGTTCGCCATCACTGATCTAGGCAGTACTGTTTAAGATCTTAAAGATCTTTACATTCAAATATCTGGGTAAAGAGGGAATATGTAAATATGTAAAGAGGGAGTAATTACTGTACAGTCTTCTTTAAAACTCAACTCCAATCGGGCTGTAATTCAGTGTTTCTTAACCTGTTGAAGTCCATATGTTTTAACGGTGCCAAGGTTGAGAAAAACTGCTGTAACTATTAGTTCATACTGAGGAAGCATCTGGGAATCACTTGATTCATCAACATCACACTATCTCTAAGGAAATGTGTCTCATGATCCATATATCGGGATAGAACTTTAGAACAGGGGTCCCCAACCTGTGGGCTGCAGCCTCTTGGCCACCAGGCTGCCTGAATGGCTGGTCTGTGCGCACACGTGCACCCACGTGCACAGCCCCACTCGTCGCCAGAGTCACCACGGATGTTCATGGCCCCACTTGCGTGAGCATTGTCACAGGTGTTTGTGGCCCTATTCTCATAAGTGTCATCGCGGGCGTTTGTGGCCCCACTCGTGCATGCATCGCCACACCGTTGCGGGCATTTGCAGCCCCATTCACACAAGCATGTGAGCATTTGCGGCCTCACTTGTGCAAGCGTTGCCGCCTCACTCACGCAAGCAACAGGTGTTTGTGCATGCATATTTTACTCTTCCCACAGAAACCATCCCTTCTTTCCTCCTTCACCCGGCTCCATGCACTCAACTGTGATTTTGGGGAACCCTGATTTAGAAGGAACTTCTTTAACTGCACCATGTAAGCCGTGGTGGGATTCAAATATGTGAACAACCGGTTCTCTGTGTGGATGCCGCTTCCGGAAGTCCATTCTGTGCCTGCGCCACAAAAAATTAGCTACCGGTTCTGCCAAAATGGTGCGAACCGGCTGAATCCCACCACTGCATGTAAGGTCTACTCTTATCTCTATCCTAGGTTAGAACCTCATGCGATTCTTTTGTAGTGTAAAACATGGCTGTGATAAGCCATGGCTGTGATAAGCACCAAAGCGACTTTGATAGGCACAATCAGTCTTGGTTTTCCTTTGTTTCGATGTCTTCCAGATCACCTTCAGTTTGACAGAGCATGATATCCGCGTCAAAATGGAAGGGAGTGAAGAAATTGTCTTCCCCAACCGGCTGGGCCTTAATCTCATTGATTTTCTTGAGGTGGAAGGAGACTTCAGAATCAAGTCTGTGACATTTCCCTGAGGATAGACTGTCTCTCCTGTGGTCTCGTTCTGTAGTCAAATAGAATCGGTTGTTCCCAAACATGCTGACACGATGTTCTGGAATTTGTGCATTCCTTTCACCTATGTTTTTGTCAAAGCAGGCACGTGGACTCCTTGAATTGTCGCCATCTTTCTTGCCGATCTCTCCTCATGATCCGTTTCTTGGCTGTGCTGCGTTGTGACTGAGCTCATTTTCCAAGAAATAAAGACCTATTAAAGATACAGTTGTGGTTCATTTTGTGGAAAATCAGGCTTTCCTCTACATCAGAGGTCCCCAACCTTTTGGGCACCAGGTATTCTATCCCAGCCTATGGCCGTCCTTGTTAAAGGCACAAGGACAAAACCCCTGTTGAGAAAATAGGCTGGAGACTCAAAAGAAAACAAACCCCTTTTAATATGGGTAACCAACCTGCCAAATAGTCCAGAAACAAAAGCAGCAAAACACAATCCAAATGGAGGAAATTGTCCACACGAAACACAATGCAAAACAGAAAAGTAGTCACCGGCAATACTAACAGAACATGATCCCATGAAGTACTTTGCAATGGTTGCCTTCAGCAACCAACACCGCCCACACCTTCCCTTTTTATAAAGTAGTCACAAGGTGTTGCCTCTCAGTGCCTTCTCCTCCTCCCCTGGAGTTGTTGTATTGACTGCTGCTGATCTGCTCTCGCTAATTGCCCGCGTCTACGAGCATCAATCATGTCCATCAGGTGTGAATCCTCCAAGTCTGAGTCATTCTCCCCACACAGCTGAGCTTCATCCGTAACACGACTGGAGGGGCCAGGCTCTTCATCAGACCGTGAGTCTTGTAATTCATCAGAGCCTCCCTCTGACCCTGATGGCCCTCCAAATGCCGCCTCTACCTCCTCCTCAGATTCCCCGGACTCAGCTGTTGGGAACACAGGCTGGCACGGAATCACGACACCAGGGACCGGTTCCGTGGAGAGAGGTTTTTCCGCAGACTGGAGAGTGCGTGGTTTTGTGTGCTGCCTTTGTCTTGCAGATGGGGCTTTGCTTGTTGGTGCAGATTGGTTGCTGGCATGCTGTGGACCGGTACTGATCCACAGCCCAGAGGTTGGGGACCCCTGCTCTACATGTTGCCTGTTGCAGGTAGAATCTGGTAAAATCTTCTGAAGTGTCAGAACACTTTGGAGATCTTTGCTAAACTTAAATTAAAAAAACCCAATCACAACAGGTTTCATGAGACCAATAGAACTGCTGAAATAGATGTATGTACAGGCAGTCCTCAACTTACAGCAGTTTGTTTAATGACCGTTCAAAGTTACAACAGCAACTGAAAAAAGTGACTTATGACCATTTTTCACACTTACGACCGTTGCAGCATCCCCATGGTCATGTGATCAAAATTCAGACACTTGGCAACTGACTCATATTTATGACGGCTGCAGTGTCCTAGGGTCATGTGATCGCCTTTTGTAACCTTTTGATAAGCAAAGTCAATGGAAAAGCCAGATTCACATAATAGCCGTGTTATTAACTTAAGAACTGCAGTTATTCACTTAATAACGGTGGCAAGAAAGGAAGTACAATGGGGCAAAACTCACTTAACAAACATCTCACTTAGCCACAGAAATTTTGGGGCTCAGCTGAGGTCGTAAGTCGAGAACTATCTATAGTTGCACCATTTGTGGTATGAGAGGACAATGCCCCATATTTCTAAAACAGTCTTATTATCAAATCTGCCTACATATATAATAATAATAATAAAGTTGGAAGGGACCTTCGAGGTCATCTAGTCCAACCCCCTGCCCAGGCAGGAAACCCTATACCATTTCAGACAAATGGCTGTCCAGTCTCTTCTTAAAAACTTCCAGTGTTGCAGCATTCACCACTTCTGGAGGCAGGTTGTTCCACTGGTTAATTGTTCTCATTGTCAGGAAGTTTCTCCTTAGTTCTAGGTTGCTTCTCTCTTTGGTTAGTGTCCATCTGTTGCTTCTTGTCCTGCTTTCAGACACTTTGGAGAATAGCTTGACTCCCTCTTCTTTGGGGCAGCCCCTGAGATATTGTAACACTGCTATCCTGTTCCCCCTTGGCCTTCTCTTCGTTAAACTAGACATACCCAATTCCAGCAACCATTCCTCATATGTTTTAGCCTCCAGTCCCCTAATCATCTTTGTTGCTCTTCTCTGTACTCTTTCTAGAGTCTCAACATCTTTTTTACATCGTGGTGACCAAAACTGGATGCAGTATTCCAAGTGTGGCCTTACCAAGGCATTGTAAAGTGGTATTAATACTTCACGTGATCTTGATTCTGTCCCTCTGTTAATGTAGCCCAGCACTGTGTTGGCTTTTTTGGCAGCTGCAGGTCATATTTAAGTGATATATTTCTGAAATATCTTTTCTCAATAGGGAAGGCCTCATAATTGATGGCATTACTAATCAGTAGGTACTCAGGCAATTCAGCCATCAACAGGCACATAGAGGTAGACAATAGCTATAACACAATAACATAAAAAGGTCTATGAAGTGAAAGTCAGCTACACAGTGGAACGGTGGAAGTGCAACAAGGCAGTCTAACAACTGTTCCTTTCACTCACTCTGCCTTCTGGAACTGGCATGTGTGCCAAATGCTTGGCTGGTTGAGAGGACAGGGGTGGGCAAAATAAAAGGATCTGCAGCTGTCCCAGTGCTCAAACAGGGAAACGGCCTTAGCCACAAAAGCATTTGCTGTCTCTTGGCTGAATCCACTCAATGGAAACAGCTGGGATCTTTCTTCCGCAACTCCAATAATCCCAACATACAGTACTTCCACACTGAGAACAGGGACAAAAATCCATCCTCCTGCATTTGCTTCTGTGCTGCAATGGCTGTGCCCTGCCAGTGCGATGTAATTCTGGCTTTTCAGGTAACTGATCTGAGGTAAAAGTGGGCTGTAAAGTCAGGCTGATGTGGACATACTGGGTACAGTATTTCCCCTCAGAACTTACAACATTCCAGCGGACACTGAATTTTAAATATTAAATATTGAACGTTTAAATACAATGTTAGAAGGGTCAGACTTGGTGGCTAATAGTACAGAATTCCTAGTTATTGCTTTGTCTTTTGTGGCAATTCTCTAGAACAGTGGTGGGATTCAAATAGGTGAAGAACCGGTTCTCTGTGTGGATGCCACTTCTGGAAGTCCATTCTGGGCCTGGGCAACAAAAAATTAGCTACCGGTTCTGCCGAAGCGGTGCGAACTGGCTGAATCCCACCACTGCTCTAGAAGCATCTATTTTAGGGATATTTAGGGATCCAGTGGTTAAGACATCAAGCTAGAAACCAGGAGACGGTGAATTCTAGTTCTGCCTTAAGCACGAAAGCCGGCTGGGTGACTTTGGGCCAGTCATTCTGTTTCAGCTGTTCTCCTCACAAATTTGTTTGTGGGGAAAATAGGAGAAAGGTGTGTTGGATTTGTTTGCAGCCTTGAATTATTTGTAAAGATGGGATATGCATAAATAAAAATATTCATTTTGCACCAATTAATCTAAAATTAGTGTATTGTAGTCCATCTAGAGCAGGGGTAGGCTCTTTTATGACTCATGGACTTCAACTCCCAGAATTCCTGAGCCAACATACCCCTGAATTCTAGAGCTTTCTACAGTGAAATATGGTTGATAATAATAGGTGGATTTTCTTAAAGTAGCTTCGTTTTGCTATAAGCTTTCCTTATATATTTTAGCCTCCAGTCCCCTGATCATCCTTGTTGCTCTTCTCTGTACTCTTTCTAGAGTCTCAACATCTTTTTTACATCGTGGTGACCAAAACTGGATGCAGTATTCCAAGTGTGGCCTTACCAAGGCATTGTAAAGTGATATTAACACTTCACATGATCTTGATTCTGTCCCTCCATTAATGTAGCCTAGGACTGTGTTGGCTCTTTTGGCAGCTGCTGCACACGGCTGGCTCATATTCAAGTGTTTGCCCACTAGGACTCCAAGATCCCTCTTGCAGTTGCTACTGTTGAACCAGGTACCACTTATTCTATATACCTGTGCATCACTGCAGTGTCCATCCCGGAAGTGAATCTTGCACGAAACGAATGTAAGTTACACTTGCACCATGAACAATTGAAGAGAACATTTAATCTTTAATGGTTTCCAAGAAGACATTACCACTCCATTGCCAATGGTCATTCCTAACATAACTCTTCCCACCCCAACAATCATGCCAATGAACAGCACAACCCTCCCAAACAATCACATTCTTCCTTTAGCCAGGCAAACAATCCATGTACAAGACTAAAACTGTATTTCACACTCCCCCTCCCGTAGCAACTCCATCCAGCGAGATCAACAGGCACAATTTTTAAAGGGTGGCTCAAGCTTAACATTTGCCGATTGTTCGTCAACAGTCGTTCTTGCCCACTGGCCTTGGACCATCCCAAATCATCTCTGGCGGACAATTTCAGAAACAGTGATAAATAGGATAAGGCATTGGTGTTATTCCTGCACCATTTTGAGTCCCCCTACGTTGCCTAAGGGTGTGGTTGTTGAGTTCCCCCCCCTTTCCTCCTTACCAGGAAATTGGATGGGTAGAAAAATACAGGAGAAAGGTGGAAGTCACTTGGAACAATCCATAAGTGAGGCACAATAATGTCACAGCACCCTCATGTGGAAGCAGGCAAATGGGGTGACGGTATCCTTTTTGATGGGCTAGTCCAGGGGTAGGCAACCTTGGCTCTTTTATGACTCGTGGACTTCAACTCCCAGAATTCCTGAGCCAGCCATGCTGAGGGAAAAGGGAGAGGTTTCCAAGCTGAGCCATGCTGGCTCAGGAATTCTGGGAGTTGAAGTCCACGAGTCATAAAAGAGCCAAGGTTGCCTATCCCTGGGCTAGTCGCAATTGCGTGGGAGATACAGGTAGCCCTTGACTTACAACCTACTGACCGTCCGAAGTGACAACAGCACCGAAAAGAGTGGCTTACAACCGGTCTCCCCAGTTACAACCAAACACAGCAATCCCCAGGATCGTGCGGGTCAACATTTGAACATCCAGCAACCAGCATATATTTACGACGGTTGCTGTGTCCTGGGGCCTTGCGATTGCCTTTTGCAACCAGCTGGCTTCCAACACGTAAAGTCACAGATTCATTTAACAACCACAATTCACTTAACAACGGTAAGAATAACTGTGGCCAAAGGTTCGTAAAATAGGGCACAACTCATTTAACGACCGCCTTGCTTGGCAACTCTGATTGCTTTGCTACAGAACAACGG